ATACAAAAGCTGGCTTTATCCAATTTCGCATCAATTCTCAGCAACCACAAATGATAGATTATTTTTCGGAAACATTATTCCTGAACTCGACTGGTTTAAGGTTAGTAAAAAACACGAAATTTTTGACCAACATATAATTTATAGAAACGAAAAGATACCATTGTTGTGTTACAAGCATCTTCAGGCTCCGTGAAGACCGCACATCCGGTTGAATTCAAACCATAGCTGAATGCTGAAATACTCAGACCAAAATCGGCACCAGTTGCATCGCAACGTAATACTGCATGATAACCCGTATATGTTCTCTCCAACTGCAACCATTCATCCAATGAGATCACTTTCAAATGATTGTACTTGTACTGAGAACTTTACAGTGCTTCGCACTGTAAAGCTGTTGTTAGCATTCGTTTGACAAATGCTCTGTTATGATCCAGGTATATATTTATTCTTTTGTCTTCTAGCAAACCAATTGATACCGATCATTCAAAGCAATTAAAGAAATCATCTGATTCAGACAAACTTTTTCCATCCCCATTAGACGTTCGTTTATTCCATAGATAGAATGTAAAGACGAAGAAGTGAAATCGGTTTCAACCATTCTCTCTCAATAAACACGTTCACACTTCGATCGTTAAAAAACTAACCACTTCAAGCATGAATTGAGCAGCACAAGATGATGAAGTGATAGTTGACAAAAGAGTGGTTATAAGTAGACGAAGCGAGGTATTAATATGGCAATTACTATCACCACGTATACTGTTCTTATGTCTTCTGGCAAACGAATAAATACAATAACACGACAGCGTGGTCCAGAGCATATCCATGCATATCTCCATTATGTGACGACGACTTCAATTACTCAATTTCAGATTTCTATTTATCATCTAGCTTATCCAAGTGATCTCTTTCTTGAGGATAAATCTAACCTATTAGAGTGGATCAGTGAAATATGAACGATTAATTCTCGATTAATTGTGGTTTGAAGAATGCTGAAATTTTGAGCGGAATTATCATCAGTGATAATTTACGCAACGCTATTGACGAATAATGCAGTATATAGAATAAACGACGAATAAGCAAGACATCGGAGTATGCTACTACTGGGCCTGGATTAAGATTTGCCGGGCTGGGCTCAGGCATAAGTTTGTCTCAAACAATTAATTTCGACTAATGATACAAT